GGACCCTCTAAATTTAAGGACTGACCCTTAAAAAAATGAAAAAGAAGGCAATACAATCAAAAAAATCGAAATATAAAAATAGAAAAACACTAGAAACAAACAATAAACATAATATTACAAAGTTTTTTGAATAAAAATAATAAGCATTCTTGTTTTGAAAAAACACTGGAAATTGATCAACTATTGGAAATGGTAAACAACACGAGAAAAATGAAAATCAAATTACAAATATTTTTGAGGATAACAATGAAAATTTAAAAAACAATAGAAAAACACTAGAAAAATAATCAAAAAATATTTAAAAAAAGAAAAAGAACAACTATAAAAATATCAAAAAACAATAAGAAAAAATGGTGCGTCAAGAAGTTTCCGTTTTGTTTGGTGGCACTGGCGTTTGGTGTCTAGTATGCCTCCATGAAATTCAGTTTCAGAGTTGTCAGTGATCATAATGCTCACAGTGATTGATTTGCAGTTTTCTGCATGCAAATCATATTATTTTGTTGTTGTTGTTGTTTGCGTTTTCAGCTGGTCACACCAAAGTTGCTGGGTCATCTTGAGCTATGCAGCTACACCCTCGCATGGTGGATGTATCCAATCCCAGTCTAATCTAGTTTTGACTTCCAAACACCTCTTTGCGCACACACCCGACCCTTAAGGACAGGGGGGGGGTCCTTAAGCACAGGGAATTATGAAAGTTAACAGTGTGATCGAAAGCTGAAACACAATATATATATATATATAATATATATATATTATATAGATTATATATGTATTATATATATATATATATATATATTGTAAAATAAAAATAAAATACGTCAGAACATGTCAGAACAATCTCAATTTTTTTAATCAAAACGAATGAGATTAACAACTGACAAGTCACTGACAAGTCACTGAACCAACTCCTTTAAGATTAACAACTCCTAGCGCTGGAAGCTTTTTTTGTCCCTGGCCTTCCATCTCCTCTCGGCATCATCCCATTCGATGATGCTTCCAAGGATGCCATTCAAGTCCGGTCGGGTCTGGCACATCAACTGACACCCAACCGAGCGTTGCTTATGATGGTTATGGAATGTCGGGAACTTAAAATCTCCCCCTCCCCCACAAAAAAAAAAAAACTACAATTGAACATTGCCTATTTAGCTGACAAAACCATGAGTTTTGAAGAATTTTTTTATGTGTCTTTACACTCTTCAACATTTGGGGGGAAGAAACTAACATACCCTCTGGCTATTTAACATAGCCATGGAAAATCACCATTTTTAATAGGTAAACCATCTATAAATGGGCCATTTTCCATGGCTATGTTAGTCATAACCAGAGGGTATGTTTTGAAAAATGGCCAACCAGCGGGTAAAACACCAGCATCACCAGCGGCCAACAACTGGGCGCCTTAAGACCAGTGACGCGCACGCGATCACCTTCAGCGAAAATGGACCTTGGACGCTCCAAGTGTTCTGACACTCCAAAAAACGGATGCTCTGATACCATGGCATTGGGGTTCTGATTAATGTTGATTAATGTTGATGAATGATGATGAATGTTGATTGATGTTGATGTTGACCGACATCCATGTTGAATCATTTTGATATGTTTAATGGGAAAAACTACTGCGTTTGAAGTATCTGTCAACTTTTTCACGAAGCTCCCTGAAGACAAAGGCTCAGACTCTTCACCTGCAGTTCCACCAATGTCAAAATGAATCTCAGAAATCTCAGTAGCCTAAGTTGTACTCAAGGGCATGGTGACCATGCCTTCCAATGTGAAACTAACAGGTATGTATCAGGTCTTATTCTCGTCACATGTGCGCTCCTTTGAGAACGGCAAAATACCCCACACTCCCATATCATAATTTTCCCAAGTAAACTGACCAGAAATTGGTTGTCCACCCCAGGGTTTTCCTTGATTCGGTTGAATCCCGTTGTGGGTTTATATGGGTTGTATCACTGAGTTAGACAGGAATGGATTCTTATAATGCCATATGGGAGGATCAACATCCAAATGCCAACTATTTTGATTATTTTGGGGTTCACCACCAGGGTTTTGTCCCGGTGTTCCCCCTGTCGCTGCACCTTCTTGGTGCATGAGACCTGGCACATGTACGGATATCATAGTGGACAATATGAACATTGGGATGAATTTGGCACGTGTAGTATAATTATACTGTATAATGTATATACACACGTATTTTTCAACTGCGCAAACTTGAGCTCCCGAAGCGCAATGACAAAGGGTAGGTTGCAGTGGTTTAATGTGTTTTTAAAGTAAAAATTGAAGCACCATGCTTTCCGACAAAAGCGATTACCAAACGAAGTACCTAAATGATATGATTAGACATGATGAGTGCCTACATCATCCTATTATATCCTAACAGAAAAGACCAGCTCACATCACAAGATGAAATAGGGATGGGTCAAAATTAAAGCCCCTATGGGACCAAAGATTTTAGTATATGTTTAGTATTAACCAATATTAACCATCTAATTATGACCCATACCCAAATCAACAAATTCCAGACAGCTTTCGGGCAAGGTCCAGCTCCAGGCTTCCCCCTTTTTCACGATGCGCGTCACGCCGCGCTGCGTCGCGCGATCGTTGTCACAACGTCGGCATCGGCTGCCTTGAGCATACCATGCCGGGCACATAATCCTGGCTGCTTCCAGACCAGTTTCAAAACGACTTCTTCGAAAGGCCGCTCTGCCGGGATGATCCCTGAGAACACACAAAGTAAGTGGTTTGCAACATGTTGTAACCCCTTCTGACTGGCAAATGATGGCAAATGCAATGTATTACTTATACATATGTATATATATATGTATATATGTGTGTATATATATATGGATATATGTATATACCATCACAGTGCTTGCAGCCGTGGCGTTATCTTTGGTGTTATCATAAGCGATACTGGAAAGGACTCATTAAAAGGGCTAGCCAACATGTGCACTTGCAAAGGTGCAACCAGGCACATGTCAGAGAAATGCACGCACAGATTCTGAGCAGATTCTCTGAGGAACACCTGATCTTGAGGCCACCCTCGACGCCAGAGTCCCTTGACATATGGCTGCCTTGCATGTAAGCTTCAGTTCAAGTCCAAGGGAGGAGAAGGGGCGCATATGTTCAAGTGTCATGGAATGATTTCACCCCTCAGATTTCTCTTCACTGAAACTCGTTGTGAAGCATGTTTGAAGGAATACCATACGTTTGGTCAGCTCCATCACCATTTGCGCAGCTCCGATCCATGCAGACTCCTTTTGCAGCGACAAAACACACAGTGCACGCCAGCTGCGGGATGGGGCTCCTCTGAAACTGACAGTTTGGCCAAGCGGCATAATGGCTTGCTGCCGCCTCTTGTTTGCCAAGGCCCAAAACTGCCGCCTCCGCAGGAAAGAGAGGTCTTTGACTTTGACACAGAGGTTTATGCCGAATGTGCAGAAGTTCTCTTAGAACGCAAATCAATTGTGGAAAGTGAGCGTATGTTGAGGCAAAGAATGGATCAGAAGGTCATCTCTTGGACCAGGTTTGTTCAGACAGTTCGATTGTTTGGCAGACAAGTGCAGGAAGAAGACCTCCAGGCATTTGGTTTAACTTTCCTTCAATGTCAGCAATTCTGTGACCAGATTACGGACCCTGAGCGATGGCCCTTTCTGAACAGATTAGCAGCGAAGCAGCCTCCGACTGAAGCCACACGCGAAGATTTGGAGTGGCAATGTGCCAACAGTGAGATCCTTGACCCCACTGGCCCATTTGTAGCTCCACAGAGTTTTGGAACCCATCGCTACATCCTACATGCCTTTTCAGGTAGGAGGCGTCAAGGAGACTTCCAATTCTTCCTGGACAACCTCATTGGAGACAGGCCGGGCATCACAGTTCACACCCTTTCTGTTGATATCATTCTGGATGCGAAATGGGGGAATGTGGCTGACCCAGAAGTGCAAAGATTCTGGCGCCATGCCGTGCGTCAGAAATGGGTTATCGGATTTCTTGGAGGCCCGCCTTGCGAAACGTGGAGTCGGGCCAGAGAACATGCGATAGAACATCCCAGAGGCGGTTGCAGAGGACCTCGTGTTGTCCGCACAAGCCAACAATCCTGGGGGTTGCCCAGTTTGTCCTTGAGGGAACTTTCTCAAGTCTTCATTGGCAATCAGCTGATGCTTTTTTCAATCAGCACCATGGTGGAACTATACTTCACAGGTGGCTGCGGAGCTATGGAACACCCAGCGAGGCCAAAGAAGGCGGAGTCTGCGTCCATCTGGAGAACACCTTTGTTGGATGCTTTTCAACTGTTGGAGTTCATGCAGGGCCTCTTAGGTGCGGCCACAGCAAAACCAACGATGATTTTGGCGCTGAGATTGCCAAGCTTGGCTCACCAGATTTGTCGCTGGCGGATCGTAGACGATGTGCCCAAAGGGGCCAGTTTGGGACGGGGAATTGACGGGAACTTCAAGACAATGGTCTTGAAAGAGTACCCCCCCTGCTCTCTGCGGAGCGCTTGCTACCGCCTTTTTGCATGCACTAGATGCTTTTCCCATTGACATCGAGGTACAGATACCCCATCATTTCAGGCCACATGTGTTAACATGCAAATACAGACGTATGGCACTGAATTAGGATCTGATTTCATGGGTGGTGTAGTGTAAGAATTCAATCAGCAAAGGCCGCGGTGAGAACCTCTTTGTGCCTGGAGAGAAAGAAATATGTATATATATATGTATATATGTATGTGTATATATATATATATATGTATACATATATATGTATATATGTATGTATATATGTATGTATATATATATATATATGTATATATATATATATATGTATATATATATGTATATATATGTATATATATATATATGTATATATATATATATGTATATATATATATGTGTATATGTATAAATATATATACGTATATAATATAATATATATATATATATATCCCGTGTGTATCTTGTGTACTTATTCATGTTTTTTCGTTTTTTCTACTATGATAACTGCTATGAATCACCTTCCTTTTCTGATCTTGCTGCCCCTTGCTCAGCGAATTTCATCGAATTTCTCTGCGGCCACTGCTCAGAAACACCCACTCCTGATCAGAAAGCTCGCCTGGTCTGCTACGAAGTAAATGTTTCAACGCTCCAACCTCTACAGTACACCGTCTACCCATACATTGTGCGGTAATGTGCGGTATATACATGCTTGCATATATATATATATATATATATACGCATATCATGATCGTATATGTACAGTGTACAGTATATACGTCAAAATGGTCAAAGACTTGCCAACACTAAACAAAATCTGGGTTTGGACCTGAAAATCTCCTGGTTCCCATCATTTTCCCCGCAAAAATCGCGATCGCGGCCTATTGGATATGGCAGTTCTGCGATTGGTGCCGATGCGTCTTGCGGGATGCCTGGCATGGAACCATGGGTTGCGATTCATAGGGATTCCTGCAAGTATGCCCTTCATCTAATTCTGGGAAGCTGAACTTTCTGGGAGAATATCGCCAAAAATCTCGTAAAATGATCTATATTAGGGAAGATTCCATTCCCAGGTCATAGATTCCAGCAGGCTATTGAATAGTGATGCTCATGAGGAAATCCGGCATCAACTGGTGAAGGATGTCCCGGACATCCACAGTTTGTCCCCAAGGTTCAACAAAATCATATGTTCATCCAAACCTACAAATATTTATATATAACTGTATATATATAACTATATATATAATCATATATATACATATATATATACAACTGTATATATATATAACTATATATATAACTGTATATATATATACAACTATATATATATACAACTATATATATATACATATATGTATATACAACTATATATATATACACAACTGTATATATATAACTATATATATAACTATATATATAACTGTACATATATATATATATACAAATAATTATATACAACTATATATATACAACTATACATACATATATATATATATACAACTGTATATATATAACTATAGATATAACTCTATATATATAACTATATATATAATTACAACTATATACTATACAAATATACAATATATATATATATACAACTATATATATATACAACTATATATATATATACAACTATATATATATATACAAATATACATATAACTATATTTATATATATAAATAGAATTACATATATATATATAAATATATTATATATCACTATATATATAACTATATATTATATATATAACTATATATATATGACTATATTTTTACATACAAATATATATATATAACTATATATATAACTATATGCATACAAATATATATATATATATATTGTAGTTGGTCTAGGACCACAACTACCTGGCAGCTTCTCCCTCCAAGACACCAAAGCGCGGGCACGCGCCTCTTTTCCAGAGACACACCTGCTGATGCAAAAGTCCCAAGGCTCTCTGAAGAGCGGCCAAAACTGGATTGCAAAAGGGCGATATCAGCCTTCTTACCAACAACGGATCAAAGCCCCTGGCTTTCAAGGACGACCTCGTCCACCAAATCCAAAAGTAGCAAGTCTATGGCTAACAAGCACCAAATGTGAATCCCTCCCGCTGACCTCTCCTATGGTTCCCTGAGCCAGGGTGCTGAGGTGGACATGAGGTCCTGGAATTAGAGCTGGTTTCGGAACGGCTGTGGGTAAAGGTTCTGGTCACTCAAGATCAGTTGCAATGATGTGGAATTCACACTCCTAAAAATCCATTGTTTATTGACAACAGACATTCATCATTGCACCCCTGGTCATTGGATTCCTTTTGTTCAGAACCCTTAAGCCATCGAAGCCGATTGCGCGTGGTCGCGCGGGATTTGAGAACTTCCAGTTCGTCGTGCAGCTTGTAGTGTCCGTGATGCAAAGTGGCACGGAGAAATGAATTTTCCATGATCTTGGTCAAACTGTCAGCCAATTGTGCACCACTATGTACCCACCTAAGCTGTACACCTTCAGCAAGAAAATCCTTGATTGCTCTCGCATTCAGTTGTGTTCGATATTCTGAGCAGTTGGGGACTGCTGTTCGAGTTACTAGATCATACAAGCTCTTACAGTCGGTGGCTGCTAGGCTTTCCGGCAAATGCTGTGTCCTGTAGGTTGCAGTGGAATATGTTTCGGGAAGTTTCAACAATGCATCACTAGGCTGCTTCCACTGAACGGAAGGATCAAGCATCCAGCCCCAACAAAGTCTCAGCCATGATAAATGGTCTAAGACTGAGCTTAATGATACCGTCTCGGCTGCCAGAGTGCTTGTCACCACTCTCTGAATCTTCTTGCTTCCCCAAGACAGAGGGCTTACTGGGCACGAAACATTCTGAGAAATTAGTTTGTGGGTCCCCATGATCATGCAACCTGTGTGAGAACTGGGATTTCCCTTTGAAGCAAACGAAGCATCGGAAAACGCAAGAAATCGGAAATCATCAACTGGTATGGCTTGTATTTGAATGGTCGTGTCGCTGTGTTTCTTGGCTTCATGTAGTGTCTGGTTGGCAAATGAAATGGTGTTTACTGTGGCCCTGTTAATTGATGATTGCAGTTGGCTAAGTCGACTGGAAAGATCTGGACGGGTGTGGACTGCAGCGTATTGAAGGCTTCCAATCAAAGCACGCAGTTTCTGTCTCTCCTCTTCTGTGACAGGTTCTTCTCCCTGGTTCTTTCGTTCTGTTTTCATGGAGATTGGTGGAATGGCGTTGACATATTTAGTTTGTTTCATGGTTATGGTACCTGAAGGTAATTGGTCCATTTCAATCCCAGTGAAGGTGAATTGTTTCATTTTCTTAGAACCAAAAGGATACTTCTTTTCGAGGATGGCAAGCTTCTTTTCAAAGTATTGGCTACCCCCACAGATACCATCATCCACATGTAATCCAATAACCCCTTCAAGAGCTCCTGTGGTTTCATGTCGAAGGATAAACTGACAAGGGTCAAAAGGACTCTGGGAAAACCCTAGGTTTCTGAGTTCTTCGGAGATGGCCATATACCAAAGATATGGTGCATCGATTAGACCATAGGCACCCTTTTCTAGCTTGCAGACCTCATTGGTGGCCAGTTGGAGAGCCTCAATGAGTTCCGGTACAGGTTCCACAGCCAAGGTTCTTCCCTCCTGCGGTTTTCCTTGCAAGAATGCTGCTCGAATGTCAAAAGATCTAAGGATCCAACCCTTGGATGCGATTAACTGAAGTGACAACATCTTGGCATTCCTACCGAGTGTGGGGGAATCTCGTGGTAGTTCTTCCAATTTAGGGTCTAGATATCCCAGGATGACTAAACGGGCTTTAGCTTTCATCTTGGGTTTGGACTCTGGGTGATTATCTTCAGGGCCAGCATCTACTGGCTTCCATGTGAGTATCCATCTACATCTAAGGATTTGGTCATGAGGAACCTGGGATCTTAGAATGCGGGATATTGTGCCAGTGTTCAACCAATTCTGAATTTCATTTGATTTGGCCTGTTGGAACTGTGCCTTCTCAGTGGGCGTCAACTGGGACATTTTGACTTCTGCTCGTTGACGCTTGGCAGCGGAAACCACAAAAGTCATTTCAGCTGGGTCGGCTGCTTCTTTCCATGATTGGATGTCATCTTCTGTGACATGGATTTCGCATCTCCAGGCAGCATCTTGCTCCGTAGAGCACATCTGGATTGGGTCATCTATGTCTAGACAATGATATCCCTCACAGTATAGATCATCGTCAGATTCCTCTGGTATGGGAGTAGTTATGGCGGGGTCTGTAATTTCGGAGGGCATGGGGTTTGGTGATTGATTATTTTCATCATGGAGGTTATCATTGGGTGGATTATGACTGGTTATGGAATTTTGGGATTTATGTGATGGGGCTTCAGGTTCATCATCCGGTTGGACCTCGGATTGGGTGTCCTGTCGAGGAGGTTCCGGTGTTCCTGTCATGTCCTGAAGTCCTGAGTCCGGAGGATTCAAGATGGCTCTAGTGATTCCTTGTGATGGCAACTGCGGCAATTGTTGGGCAATTATTGATACTGAGGGTTCCTTACTCGTGATAGGGATCATTCGTGCTTCATTGGAGGAAACGGGTCTCACATGTTCGGGGGCACATCGATAGATTTTACTCCCTTGAGTGGTCCAAATAGTTTGGGCATTTTCGTGGACTACTACTTTCATGGGTCCTATCCAGTGTCCCTCCATGGCCCCTTTTCCCAATTTCCAACACATTACCCATTCCCCTGGTGAGTATGGCAAACCTCCTGGTCGTGTCCTGCGTAACATGGCTCGGCGAAGTGCTGAATCGTTATCTGCATAAATGAAAGCTTTCCTAGCACTTTCTCTACAGGCAAGTTGTCGCCTGAAAGCCACTCCATGAGCGGTTTCTGACTCTGCCAAAAGATGGGCTGGGATTAATTCATCGCTGCAGACAGCTCCAGGCAACCGACTATGTTTGCCAAAGGCCAAGACTTCCGGCGCATAGCCTCTCTTGAGGCTGCTGGCGTTTTTCGCTTGGGTACACCAGAACAATGCTTGAGACATGTCTTGATAGCTGGTTATCTCATGATCACTTTCATACTTATTCAGCATTGTCTTTAGGATAGATCCATGTCTTTCCACACGGCCATTTTGAAAGTGAGCCTCAGGACTAATAGTGGTTAGCTTAATGTTATAACTCTGGACAAATTGGCAAAATTGTTCTGAGTTAAACTCGGTCGCGGCATCCACTAGTAGTTCACTTGGCGCACCTGCCCATGACATCCACATGTCGATGATGATTTGGATGGCTGATGAGGATGATCGGTCTGGGGCTACTCTGGCTACATGAAAATTGGTGGACCAGTCAACAATGTGATACACATGGAAAGTGGTTCCCTGTTTGTTTGTCCATTCAAGACCATCGATGGAGATCTTGTCATTGAAGTCCAAGTCCTCCTTCAGGCTGCCCGGTCGGGCAAGTTTCGGAGTTGAACTCTCTTGGCAAATTGAGCACTTTAGCTCTAGGGCTGCTTGGGCTACTTCCGACCGATACCCCTGGGAACGCAAAATGGTACTCAAACGTTCAGGACTCGGATGACCAAGATTCTTGTGGGCCCGCAACAGGGCAATCTGTTCATCTCGGGGTAGCGATCGAAATCGGGCACTCTGTTGCATGCTGCTGATGTCAGCTTGCTGGGAACGGCTGAGCTCTTGTGACAAAACAGGCTGTGGCGTGGTCTCGGATATCGGAGCCGGGATTTCTTCGCATCCCTCAGACTCATGGCATGCATTGGAATTATCTTTGGACTCCGATGGTCCTTGCAAATTCCCTGCAGGGGCACTGTCTTGGTTGGGTGATGCATGTTTCACGGCAGGCGGCCTTTCCTTAGCAAACACTGTGAGGTTAATTCGAGTCTCATGGGAGGGTCTAATGAGGTTACGCTTGGCTAGGT